GGAAAATCGCAACAGTTAGCTCTGAGGGATTCTGATTCTGAGGGGGAAAAAACCCAGATTTCTTTAGCATGAGGAATACAGATGTCTGTGACATTCTTTCTCCCCCCCCAAAAAAGTGCCTGAGTCTCCAGAGCCCCCCAAATTATTTTCTCCCCCCTCCCACATGCACGTATTTGCTAGAATTTCTTTGCACACTCAAGTTCCCTTACATTTTACAGTGTAGACGTCTTTCACAATTCCCAACCGTTTGAAACAAGATTTCTGTTCCTTATAACAACTACATTCCTCCTCAGTTTGAAAGGATAGATTGAAGCTAGCATAATAGGTTTTTTAAAAAACAGTATTTACCAAAATCATTCGATTTTTTTTTATTATTTCAAAGCCATTCCTCTAACAAACGAAGGCTATTTTGACAATTAAAAAATAATAATACAGCGAATGAGAATGGACTGGAGCTTTCCACCTTAGTTTCTCTCCCATCCCCAGTTTGCTGTCATTACAATTTCCTGACCAGGTTGTTCTTTTGATTCCCACATGTCCACAAGCCCTTTCATCTTCTCCTCAGGCTGGTCCACAGAGATACTGCTAGCGCAGCCATGTCAAACCTTGTTACTTGGCTGTGCCCTCCCTGACGTGTCCCCCACTGGCTTTGTTTTCATTAAAAGAGTGGGCACGGGTAGGCTGCTAGATGCCTAGCTATAGAGATCCGCTTGGAACAGGAAGGTCCATCATGATTAAGACCCCTCTCCAACCGTACTTCCTCCTGGGTCCTTTCTAGGCAGCAGAACTCTTGTTAGCTCTACTATTTTAACTCAGTCGGCTCCCCAAGTGCCGCTTGTGCGGACCCTCGTTAAGAAAAACGGCTTTATTTCTCAACAGCCTTAAAGAATTTAATACGGGTCCTTTATTTCAAAGTTATTGGCGGGTGGTTTTTTTTGAAGCATTATTCTGGTTTCCGTCTATTTTATTTCACGCCCACTCAAGATGCCTCTTAGGGTTCGTGGACGTTAATTCAGTATTACTGCTGTTGCCAATAACAGTATTTATATAGTATTCAAACGGGATTTAGAAACAAAACACTGTTTCTCTGTGGTTTTTCTCAACTATCCTTCCTTGCAGGGTGGCAGTTCCTTATTTAAAAAGAACTGTCACTCTGCAAGGAAGGATGATTGAGAAAAACGCAATCAAAGCAGAATGTATTAAAATAATTCCCTTTTTTTCTGGCAGATCCTGAATGCCATTGTTAACACTCATTATGTACATATATAATGTACTTATATACAAGACAGCAATCTAAATTTGGGCAAACAAACAGAATGGCCTCAAAAGCCAGGTGCCTTTGGCCAGAAGGGCTGAATACAGGTTGTCCTTGACTTACAATCACAGTTGAGCTTTGCCCCATTTTATGACCTTTCTTGCCATAGCTGTTAAGTGAATCACTGCAGTTGTTAAGTGAATCTGGCTTCCCCATTGACATTGCTTGTCAGAAGGTCACAAAAGGTGATCACATGACCCCAGAACACCACAACTGTCGTAAGTATAAGCCAGTTGCCAAGTCTCTGAGTTTTGATCACTTGACCATGAGGATGCTGTAATGGTCATAAAGGTGAAAAGCGGTCATAAGTCACTGCTTTCAATGCCACTGTAATTTCCAATGGTCACTAAATGAATGGTTGTAAGTGGAGGACTACTTGTATGGATTGAAGACTCAATTGTTTGCAGTTGGGGAATTTTCTTGGTTCAGTAGCCTTGACCTACAATGCCTAAGTTGTGGCATGGCTGGGCATTTTGACAAGCACTGGTGGGAGCTTCAAGCACACCTATTCCTGCAGACACCTGAGGTTTTATCATCTATGGATTATTATACTTGCTTCCTTTGGAGAGGATGATTGTTGCCTCTTTCTTCCTTTCTGTTCCCCTCTGAGTGTATCTTTTTTCCTCATTCTTATTCTTTTGTTTTGTTCTGTTTTATATTGTTCTTTCTTTTTAGATGTTTTAAGAATTATAAATTGCCCAGAGTCACTGAGAGACAGGTGGCATAGAAATTTGAACAAAATATTACAATTGGTCTCATTGAAAGCCAAACATTTAGACTGGATTTGGCATTTTTATCCAGCTATCGTGTTTTTCCCAAAGACCTGGGATAGGCAGAAGTTGTTTAATAATATTAAAGGTATTAGTATTATTAGGGCTAGTTGCACAGTCAGCCAAATGTTTAGACTGGATTTGGCATTTTTATCCACCTATAAAGTTTTCCCAAGAACCTGAGATAGGCAGATGTTGATGTTGAAGGTGTTAAAAGTATTGTCACAGAACTTTACTGTTCCAAGTAAAGCTGCCTTTTGCAACTGACTGATGGTGATTTTGTCAATATCAACAGTATTCAAGTGGTGCTTCCAGATGTTTTGGAATTGGAATTTTATCCTTGTAAGCTGCTGGAGTCACTGAGAGTGTGTTTGGCAGCCATATAAATATTGTTAGATAAATAAATTGCACTCAAGATGCTTATTATTGCTTCTTCTTCTACTACTATTACTACAGCACCCTTGAAACAGAAGCTGATCTTGGTCCAGAATGCATCAGCCAGATTGTGGATGGCATCTTAGTACAGGAAGGATATTAACAAATAAACAAATTACAGTCTTCATAAAATTTCAACACAGGTGTTCTATTTTGTTCTACATTCATTTCAGAGTTCTGTGACTGTTAAACCCCTGTGACAGGGATGAGGAAATTGTCCATATGAATCCTGCTCCATACTAAAACGATTTTATGATTCCTAATCTCACAAAATCTAATATACATTACTTAGGAGTTCATAGAAAGACATTTGCGGGGAGTAGAGAGAGAGAACCATTTTGACAGCTACATTTAGGCTTTTGAATTCTTTTCTGCGGGAGGTTCATTGTTAAATTTCCACTTTGACTATAGTACAGGTAGCCCTCAACTTACAACAATTTGTTTGGTGACCATTTGAAGTTACAACAGCACTGAAAAAAGTGATGTGACCATTTTTCATATGACCATTGCAGCATCCACATGGTTACATCATCAAAATTCACATGCCCTGGCAACTAGCACGTATTTATGACAGTTGCAGTGTCCCAGGGTCATGCAATTACCTTCTGTGACCTTCTGGACATTATGTCACTATTATTTATTATTTGCCCCCCTGAACAGCCCCATAGTAAAATGGGCGGCAAATAAATTTAACTAATAAAAATTTCATTGATTAATACTAGCAGCCACTGACAACTGAGCAGCACATGACATGGCTTTGTAATTTGTTAGCAAACAGTTATTTTGCATTTTACTTTGCATTTTAAACATACTTTGCATTTTGATTTGACTTACTTTTCTCTCTTTTAACATGGTGATAACACCTTTAGACTTCTTATCCTATGGCTGTGTGGATTGGTTAGATAGCTTCTAACATCCCTACACTGAAAAGATAAGTTATAAAAGGATGGCTGGATACTATCTCCTGATAAGAAAAAGTTTTAGTGTCAGCTGGCATTTGGTTATCTAACTTCAAACAACATTTATGGTTGATTTACTGTGCAAAGGAGGATTTACTTTTATCTTGTCCAATCAACTTTCCTCTTTTGTTTTTTTCTTCATTAACTATAAAAGGGGATGTAAGCTAAGGATCAGGGTTCCTTCTTTGAATGAGAGGAACCCCTTTTGTCTGAATATTCTGACAAATTGTAATAAAATGGTCTTCCTGTCTCAGTCTGTCTCACTGGAAAATATGCATGCCAAGGAACGAGCCTAAAGAGCCATATTTGACCTTCACAACCTTCATCCCCCTTTTAAATCCACCTGTGTACAATTGAGCACAGATCAGTGGTGCAGAACACCCTAGAAGCCAGACTCTGCAAGATTGTTTGATAATTGATACAACAAAAATAGTTCTTTCTCAGTTGCATCTGCTCCCCCCCCACTTTTCTATTAGCTCTGTCCTAAATAGTATATTCTATATTTTATAGAAAAACAACATGCCCTGTTTATCATATGCAAAGCACAAAGCGTCAAACTCACTGGGATCCTGAAATGTTTCCCGATATTTTATTGGGCGCCCGCCAAAATAATTTCGTGCACCTGGTGAAAACTTTACTACAGACGGCGGGTTTTCGCCTCGGGGGGGGGAGGAGGAGGGGGGGGCGCGAGGGAGGCGTTCAACGGCTGAGGGCGCGCGTTCGTCCTTAACTCCGCCCCCTTCTCGGACAGCTCTATAAATAGCCCTAGTGAGGCATGTGCATTCTTCGGCTTATCTCGCACCGTTGGGGTTATTTTTCCTCCGTCTCGTGTTTCATAGAAGAGAGGCGGATATAACGCCGATCTCCGCCCAGCCCTGTTCCTCCCCGACCCCCAATTCATTTGCTCGATTTCAGCTCTCCTGCGCTTAATATGAGTGCAATTTCTAAACTGCTCAGTTCTGGAGGAAAAAAACTAATTAATGGCACGTAATCAGTTCCCAAATGGCTCACAGCAGCTTATAAATGATAACATTTGTATCCTGCCTTTATTATTTTTGCAAATAAGGCAGCAAACATATCCAACACATCTTCCTTCTGTTTTCCCAACAACAAACCTGTGAAGTAGATTGGGCTGAGAGTGACTGGCCTATAAGGTCTCCTGATAAGACTTATTGGTTCAGGGTATAGTCTTACGATGGAAAAAAAATAACAGGATTTAGGTATAATATGAAAAAAGGGACTCTGCAGGAAGAGCTGGAAGTTACCTCTTGAGAGCCTAAAATATTTTCTGCCTTGCATGTCAATATTTTGATGGATAGTGGTAACCATTGTTACTACAAGAGACCTTGTAGCATGTGTGAGATTTTGTGGGGGGGAAACAGCCACAGAAATGGACGGAAGAATCCTGGTGATTATTGGAGGGTCTCCAACATTCTGGGTTAGGTTGGGAAAGGTTTAGTAAACACTGAAAAGGGCAAATATCACAACGGGAGACAAGGACAGTATTGCCATAATTTATTTCTTGAAATATTTCATAAAAACACGAGTTTCCCTTTCAAAGCCCAAATCCCAGGAAGTCCAATGCTCACTCTTCTTTACTCCCCACCACTCCACAAGTTAATCCCTTCCGAACAAGGGCCTTATTTGCAGACGGCTTCAAAGATCTCCAGAGTCCTCTTAATCTCCCGGATCTGCTTCGCAAGGAGGTGAACAGGCTGCATGGAGCGGTCCAGCTCCTCGCACCTGGCCATCAGAGTGTACATCCCTTTGATGCTCATGTCCACGGATTCACCCAAACTGTCCACAGCATCTCGGTAGGTCTGGATGTACCCTACGCTGAGCGCCGTCATATTCTGGATCGCGCTGTTCAAGGCTCTCAACATCTGGTCCACTCTCTGGGCCACATCTGTGGTCAGCCTTTCCAGATCCCGGAGGACCTGTGGGTCCACTGGAGGGATGTCTGCAGTTTTGCCTCGGACAGAGTGTTGGGATGATATTGAAGAGGAGGTGGGCTCTGTATCGTCCAGACTGCCCCGAGAACTCATCTTGATCTTCATTTGCAGGTTGTTGGCCACAAAGTGTGTCAGGTCTCCATCGTAACTCACTGTTCCTTCCAATTCCAAGGCGCTTGATATAGTGGCCCTCCTTCCTTCCTGGCTCTTGGATGCCCCGTATACCTGGCTTATCCCATCCAGGCTGTGACTGTCCAACAGACGTCCTCCGGCCATGCTTTCCCTGGCTGCAACTCGCACGGGCTTCGGCAACCGCCTGGATTCTTCCCCGGCTACGGAATTGGACGAGGGGGCTTGGATGTGGACCTGGGCCATTATGTGTTGCCCCTCCATCAGGCAATGCAGGATGGTAACTTAGGAATCGCGGGGAGAACCGAAGCAAGGAAGGAGAGGGTGCAAGGCAAAGGCGGAAGAGGGGGGGGGGGAGAAACGCAGAGAAAAGCTTCAAGGAGTTTCAAACGAAAGATTCTTCCCGAGATACAGAGCATAAAACCGATCCCTTTACCCCCATCTCCTACATCTAAACACGCACGGAACCCCTTCCGCCTCTCGGGGGCGGAGATTTGTCCAGGAAGAGGCGGGGAAAAGAGCGGATTGGCTAGAGGGGACTAAGGGACACTTCTCATTGGCTGTTTTCCGTTTAAAGACCCACCAATCAAGGTGGCAAAACCGGAAACTCTTTGACTGGGCTGTCTTCTGCCGGAAGGAGCGTGACACAAAATATCACCCTGAGCGGGTGGCTGAGATGGTATTAAAACAGTGTTTCTCAACCTTGACAACTTTAAGGCATGTGGACTTCAACTCCCAGAATTCCACAGCCAGCAATGCTGGCTGTGGAATTCTGGGAGTTGAAGTCCGCATGCCTTAAAGTTGTCAAGGTTGAGAAACACTGGTATTAAAAGAACAGAGGGATCGCGACGTCTGCAGGAACCCAAATTTTCACTACTGAACTTTAATGAATTTTTTTTTTATTAAATTCATACGCCGCCCATCTCACCATCCTGGGCTCTAGTTTTTAATCCACGCTTTATTTCATTTGCTCCTTTTTATCCGGAACGAGGACACCTGAATGAGATTTTAATACAGCTGTCATTTTCTAGCAGAAGAATGTATATTCCGTGAAAGAAACGTAGAACCGTGTTCCTGAGAGTTGGATCCGCATCCTGCCCTTCTTCTGCACTTATCCCTGGTTGGCTCTTCCCATCTTTTAATGATAAAAGCTCTTTTGGCTATATCGGAAAGGGAGAGGCAGGTGCAGGATTGCTGGTCATGGAGATGTTCACCCTAAGAAAGGTGACAGCAGCGAAGCAACAGAATTATGCAAGACTGTTTCCAATTTTACCTAAAAACTTACACCAGGACATAAATATACAGACATGTACAAAAGCAGATGTATACAGGTAGTCCTCGACTTACAACAGTTCATTTAATGACCATTCTAAGTTACAATGGCACTGAAAAAAAGACTTAATCACCATTTTTCAGGGTTATGACCTTTGCAGCATCCCCATGATGTGATCAAAATTCAGATGCATGACTCATATTTATGACAGTTGCAGTGTCCTGGGGTCATGTGATCGCCTTTTGCAACCTGACAAGCAAAATCAATGGGGAATTCCAATTCACTTAAAACCATGTTACTAACTTAGCAATTGCAGCGATTCACTTAACTGGCAAGGTCATAAAATGGGGCAAAACTCACTTAACAAATGTCTCACTTAACAATAGAACTTTTGGGCTCAATTGTGGTCATAAGTCAAGGACTACCTGTATACTTCTTTGAAGTTGCCTGCATTCATTTAATCCTGATTTCCAGTTCCTTTCCATTCATCATTTATTGGAGCTCACTACAAAGCATTCTTCAACTCTTACAATTTTTTTTCTCATAAGATCCAGCTGTTTTCAAAAGAGATGGGGGAGGGGGAAATATAGGTCTCAGTCTCTGACAAATCCTATTAATCCTCAATATTTTGATTATGAGAGCAATATGAAAGAGTCCAAAGGAGGATTCAGACCAGCTTTTCCTAAACTGAAATCCTTTAAGTTGATGGGCTGTGTAATTGCTATCAAATAGCTGATGTGGCTAAAATTAATAGAAACCTGGAAGGAACAACTGGAGAGCTAGGATGAGGGATTGATTAAGGTGTTGGACAAGTAGGGAGATGTGCCTTCAAGTCCATCCTCTGCCCGAAGTATTAATTTGGTGACTTTGGATCAGCTATCTCTTCTCAGTCCAACTTAAGTTTGTTGTGATGGAGAAAACACTCTATAAATTTTTTCATTCCTCAATGAAGCACTTTCCAGACCAACCTATGTGTTTCTCAGCCTTGGCAACTTTAAGATGAATGGACTTCAACTCCCAGAATTCCCCAGCCAGCATGGAATTCTGGGAGTTGAAGTCCATTCATATTAAAAGTTGCCAAGGTTGAGAAACACTGTGTTAGATTGAAGATTACTCTCAGAAAGTTCTTTAAAAAGAAGGGGGAGCATAAATAGCAAGACATCTTTTTTCCCCCTCCTGGCATGTCATGTCACCACCTCCAAAGAGTATAATTATGCAGAAGCTAAAAAAAGGTTGGGAAAGTTGATAAGAATTTGCACCATTTATTTCAGTGAGGTTCTTATAACAAAGATTATTTCCACTGAGGCTTCTTTTTCCCTTAGGTGGACTAATTAAAAAAACCAGTTATATAATGAATTATTATTACAGGCATGTATTTGTATTTGTTGTTCCTACTAGCCCAATATATTATTTGCATGTGTATTATCTTTAAGATACATCTTAATAAAGTGAAGTAACTACTTGTATAAATATCACCCAAGCATAGCCTAAGGCTTGTGGAGTGCAACCAAGATACAAACATGACTTTTGCTTGTTCAGAAACAAAACAATTATTTCACATATTCAGTGCCTTTAATAGTGTTTGTCTTCCCTCTTTCAAATTCTTTCTTGTATTTTTTACAAGAAAGTAAGCTTCAGGAATCAGACTGTCATATTCGTAAACCAATTTAGAATGTTTTGTTTTAATCTGAAAAACGGTGCCTTCATGTATTTTCCAATCCTATCATTTCACAAAAGTTATTTGGAAAAAAGCAATAAGGGAAAGATGGGATTACTTAATTATTTTGATTACCTTAGCACTTTATTCATTTTTGACTCACTTGGACAAGTGCCATTGCAACTTTAAACAGTCACTAAATGAATGCTTGTAAATAGAGGACCACATGTACTTATTGTTCAAAGTTTTATTGACTTTTAATATTTGTAAGCTGGCCAGAGTCACCTCAGGGAGTTTGCCAAGATGGATGGCAAACAAATCTAATAAACAATTTTATTTGTATCTGCCTGCTTGATTGCCATTTTGAAATCAGGTGTTAGCTTTGTATTTTACTTGATCTGAAAATGATTCAGTGACCCATTTCTGCTTTGATAATTTCAGAGTTTTGGTACTTTTCTTTAAAGCTCACATACTATATTCACTGGGCACTCTCTAATCATTAACTGAAGTTTGCATCTGAAACCATCTTTGCTGATAAATCTTAAGGATCCTTTTAAATATCTCCTGGAATGGCCCCTCTCCCCAAACTACGTGCTCATTTACTCTGATTCAGGAAAGGTGTTTTTCTAACCAAGTCTGTTTTTAAAACTTTTTAAATAATTCTGAAATGCCTTAAGCCACTCTTTGTCTTCTATTTATTATTTTAACCTGCTATTATTTGCTGGCTTTTGAAAGAGTGTTTTTCTTTAGATCATTATGGGAGACTATATAATGACAGCCACAGGAAAGAAATTTAAATATACATAAATACGCTTAACCTATTCTGCTATGTGGGATAGCAAAAAATATAGTGGGCAGCATAATTGGAAGCAGAAAAAAAAATATTACAGCTACCTTTTTGAGTATTAGCATTCTACAGAATTGAGAGATTTCTTAACATAATGGCAGTTGGGGAATTCTGAGAATTGGTCCACGCATCTTAAAGTTACTGAGGTCAAGAAAGATTAGTTCAAACATATTCACCATTTATAAACCTACTGATGAAACAGAACAGTCTGCTCCATGGCTATAGTGACTAACTCAAGTATCATGAGCTTTGTGGTTTTCAAGCAATATGTTGTATTAATCAGCTGTATGGTTTCCTTCAATAAATTCAGGTAAAATAAACTACAGATAGTCCTTGACTTACAACCATTTGTTTAGCGACCGTTCAAAGTCACAACGGCACTGAAAAAAACCTGACTTGACTGGTCCTCACACTTATGACCACTGCAGCATCCCCACAGTTGCGTGATCAAAATTTAGGTGCTTGGCAACCGGCAGGTATTTACAATGATTGCAGCAACCCAGGGTCAGATGATCATCATTTGTGACCTTCCCAGTCAGCTTCTGACAAGCAAGTCAATAGAGGAAACTGGATTCGCTTAACGATTGCATGATTCACTTAACAACTGTGGTGATTTGCTTAACAACCATGGCAAAAAGGTCATAAAAATCAGATGCCGCTCCCTTAACAATTACCTTGCTTAGCCACAGAAATTCTGGTCCCAGTTGTGGTTGTAAGTTGAGACTCCCTGTATGGCTATTGTACTGTGTGAGCTGGTGCCGGCTAAGACCCAAAATAAACTAAGGATATAATCAAGACTTGCAATGTTCATGACTTGAGGCTTCCCATTTACAGAGGTACTTGCCTTACTTGGGGCTTGGGGAAACAGGCTAAACAACACACAATAAGCAGCCTTCTACAACAGGCTTAATTGGCACAATTTATTCAGGTTAGCCTAGTGTGCATTTTTTTTAAAGATAACTGTTTTCAATTTTTATCCAAGCAGAATAAGTGTGGCCTTTCAAACAGTCTCTATAATAGAAAATCGGTAAGGCTGTTCTTCAGAGCATCAGAGCTTAACCGAGGTATTGGAGAAAACAAGTGCGATCTTGGGACATTTTGTGTCTCCTGTAGAAAGCTAAACAGGGACCCAAATATAAAGCTCCAGGAAATGTAAAAATTCTATATGCATGCTAACAAAATAAACTTGCTTCAATGATCAGATTCCTGCCCGGGGGCTCAGCAAAATCTTGCTTTGTCCATCTGGAATTTCTTCAGGTGTGTAGCTTGTTTTGCTTTGCAATCAAACATCAGCCACTATTAGAAAGCAAATTATTTCTCAGGATCAAGGGACAAGTGTTAAAAAAAATCTCCTCTTTATCATTGCCGTATACTAGGTTACATCCATGTCATGCTTCAGTTTTTCAGCTACTCTAGAAGCTCCTGAAGAATTGAGGTGAGGAGGAGAGAGAGAGAGGGAGAGAGAAAGACTGATACAAAGCCAGTCTTTTGTTTATTTATTTACTTTTCGCTCAATGGGACAGGCCTCTCTACCTGCTCTCTATTGTACTCGGTCATTGTAACTTTCCCTGCCAGAAAAGAAAGCTGAACAGAGAAATCCACCCTTTTACTTAAGATTGTTGTTTCTCAACCATGGCAACTTTAAAACCTGTGGACTTCACTTCTTAAAGTTGCCAAGGTTGAAAAATACTGACCTAAATTTCACACCAGAAACAAGGCTAGGAATTTGGAGATGAACTCAAGGTGCCAAAGAAGCCGACTCAAGACCAGCTCCTTGCCAAAGTTAGCCCCTTCCGTGAACGAGGAGCCAGAATTACCCCTCCAACCTAATCTATGTCCCAATTTGTTAATGACAGATCAATCATTCTCTTTTCTTATATACTGGTCTTTGCAACCGGACCTGAAGAAACTAGCTACGTCCAACAGCTGTTACCACACTCCGTACAACTATAAGGCCCTTCCCCCAGAGCCAAGTCATCTTGGTTGGGTTTTCGGGGGCTAGACTCCAGGTGAAAACCTTTACCACAGTGGCCGCAGATCAGAAGCCGGTCGCCTTCTCCTTCATCAGAGCTATTATTGCCATTGGTAACACTGATATCAGCACACAGAGTATCACGACCAGTCATGCGCGGCATCCCGACGCTTCCATCGTGGTGGCCCTCGATGCTGCCATCCTCAAAAGCCGGGTCAACCTCGCAGAGGAGGTCATGGCTCATGCTGGGGCTGTGAGCGTTGGTGTGAGTGCGACGGTGGCGAATGATGTGCGAGCTGAGCCGAAAGCTCTTCCCGCACTCGGTGCACACGTAGGGCTTTTCCCCCGTGTGCACCCGCCAGTGGTCCACCAGATTGGAGTGGTGGGTGAACCTCTTGCCACACTCCACACAACCATAGGGTTTCTCACCCGTGTGGGTACGCCGGTGGTTAGCCAGCGTGGAACTCCCCGAAAAGCGCTTCCCGCATTCCTGGCATTGGTACGGTTTCTCTCCGGTGTGAGTCCGCTGATGGCGAGTAAGGCATGAGCTCCCAGTAAATCGCTTACCGCACACGCTGCACTGGTAAGGCGTGACCCCGGTGTGACCGCGCCGGTGCAGGTTGTAGTTGGAGCTCTGGGAGAAGGCCTTGCCGCACAATTCACAACGATAGGGCCGTTCCCCGGTGTGGAAACGCCGATGCTGGAGGAGGTTGGAACTAGCCGTGAAGGCCTTGCCACAGTCCCCGCAGACATAGGGGCGCTCCCCAGTGTGCGTCCGCTGGTGCTTGGTGAGCGCCGAGCTCTGGTTGAAGCTGCGGCCGCAGTCATTGCAACGGTACGGCTTCTCTCCCGTATGGATGATCTGGTGCTTGGCCAGGTTCGAGCGGCGGCTAAAACTCTTCCCACACACGCCACAAGTGTTTGGGTGCAAAGAGGAAGACTGCAGGAATGGAGAAGAAAGCGTGGAGGAGGGTTTTGGAAAAAAAAGGACACACCTGCCTAGACCTCGGTCTGAAATGGGTGCTCAGGAAAGTGCAGCTTATTTGTGCTGCATCCTTTCCACAGTGGCATTTTTGCCAAGCACTGTAGCTAACTGAATTTCTACAAGCAGGGGCTTCTGCAGAAAAGGGTCAAAAAAGAATTAAGATGGTGCCCGCAAAGGCACAACCAACTTTTTACAGGTAGTCCTCAACTTGCAACCATTCGTTTAGTGACCATGCAAAGTTATAACGGCACTGAAAAAAGTCACCTATGACTAGTTTTTACACTTATGACCGTTGCAGCATCCATGTGGTCATATGATCAAAATTCACATGCTTACAACAGGCATGTATTTATGATGGCTGCAATATTCTGGGGATCATGTGATCACCTTTTGCGACCTTCTGACAAGCAAAGTCAATGGAGAAGCCAGATTCATTTAACAACCGTGTTACTAACTTAACAACTGCAGTGATTCACTTAACAATTCTGACAAGAAAGTTAGTAAAATGATACAAAACTTGCTGTCTTGCTTATCGAGGGAAATTTTGGGCTCAGGTGTGGTTGTAAGTTGAGGACTACTGTATGGGCATTCTTGTGGACACCATCTTGAATGTTAACATCTCCCCCCCCCCTTTCTGCCTCAGAACAAGGAAAAATGACCCCGTCTACAAGTTCATTTTTGTTTTCAATTGTACAATGGAAATTCAATCTCTTTAGTGAATAGAGGCTTCTAGGAAAGAAGGTCAGGGGTGCTACTCCAGAAAACCTCAAATGGAGAATTATTTTTTTCCCTTCTTATCACTTTAATTATCGGCCACCCAACTCTATTTTTATTTATTTATTTTATTTTTCATAATTTATATGCCGCCCTTCTCCCCACGGGACTCAGGGCGGCTCACAGCATATTAAAATAACACAACACAAACAACACAACACAACATTTCCCCTATAAAAGCCAATTAAAACCAAATATTTATAGTCTGTGACATTATTAAAATCATTAAAAATTATCCCTATTTAAAATTCAC